ATGGCAAGTCGCTCAACTTTGTCTTTGTCCTAAACAGTGCACTGAGGACGTAAAACACTGAAAGACAAGGGAGCTTCCCTGAGATTCAGCATGGTCTAACTCATGAGCTGGTGCCTGTCCCTGCATGCAAAGTGTCCTTGCAATAATAGTGGCTGATGAGCCCAAAGTGTAGAATTAGTGCATAAGTGGATTGGAGATGTGCCATCATGGTGCAGAGAACCTGGCATGTCCTGGATGCCAGCTTACATGAACTGGGGATGCATGTGGCCACTGTCCTGAAGCGTGCCCTCAGATATTCTAAACAAGGTGGAGACAGCTTTAAATTAAGATATTCAAGGGGGTTTTGGATGATTATTTAGATAGAAATAACATGCACAGGTATGGGGAGAGAAAAGCAAGAGATTTGCAGTAGGTAATATTGCTCAATTGAAGACACTGTGCAGGCTGAATGGCCTCCTTCTGCATTGTCTCAATTATATGATTCTGCAATGCATCCAAATTTGTTGAGAATACAAAAATAGATGGGCAAGCATATTATGATGTGACCTTAGGGAATAGAAATGAATATACACAGACTGAATGAGTGGGCAAAACTTAGCAGATGCAGGTTAATTTTAGGAAAGTGTAATTATCCACCTTGAAAAGAATCAAAAGACAGACTATTATTTAAATTGAGAGATTCCACATCCAGCACAGAGGGATTGGTGTCTTCTTGCACATGAAACAGAAAAAGTTAGCATTGAATGGCAGGGCAGACCTCAAGGGCTAAATGGCCAACTCCTACTCTTCTTCTGTTCTTCTCTTGGTGGCAGTGTCCAAAATGGAGGTTCAGAGGAGCAAGTGAAAATCTGGAGTTACCAGATACCCATTCTGACATTTATGTTGGAAATTCTCAGATTCTTGTGAGTTTCAAAAGGTCACCTCTCATTATTCTAAATTCCAATGAGTTCAGACTCATTCTACTCAACCTTTTCCCATAAGACAGTCCCTTCATATCCATCATCAGACTTGTGAACCTTCTCTGAACTACCTCCAAAATCTAGACCTACAAGGGGCCCAAAACTATTCAAAGTATTCCAGGTGTGGTCTGATTAGTTTCTTGTATAGTTTTAGCAAAGCCTCAACAATTTTTATACTCTATTCCCTTTGAAATAATGGCCAACATTCAATTTGTCTTCCCTAATACCTGCTGAACTTGGCTGCTAGCTTTTTTGTGATTCATGTGCAGGGTCTTCCAAATTCCTCTGTGCTATAGCTTTCTGGCATTTTTCTCCATTTAAAAAAAAAAATTAAGCTCCTGTGCTCTTCTTGCCAGAGTGCATAACCTCATTTTTCCACATTATATTCCACATGCAAAGCTTTTGCCCACACACATAAGCCATTATATCCCACAGCAGACTCCTGTGACATCCCCACCACTTGACTTTCCACCTAATTTTGTGTCATATGCAAACTTGACTATATCACATTCACTTTCCTGATCCAAGTCATTAATATATTGGAACCTGTAATTAGATAACACATATTGATGAGACAAGAAAGTGAACAATAATCCTCATTAATAAGTTTCTTGCTGCTCACTAGTGAGAATCTTGTCCCAATGTCCAGAACTTACTTGGAAAATCTGATATGATGCTCCTGATATTGAAAACTCAACATCTCATCCGATTTTCACAAATATCTCACCACAGCCTATGTCATTCAGGGACTGGGAAAATTCTGTCTATTGTCTTTCCATAATTGTATGAGAGAAGTGGAACTGACTATCTCAAAAGATCACGTTTGAAGAAGTATTTCAAAAACTAATACATCCCTGACTAATGGAAGGAATACAACTACAGGGTGAAATTTTAAAAATACAAGGAGTGGGGAATTTAAAGATAGTGCTATCATGAATAATAAAATGGTACAGCAACTTCATAGTCCAAATAAATCAGCACTTTTTCCAAAGAAATTGGGTAAGCAATACAAGTTTAATAACATGCCCTGTTTCTTTCAAGTAATTATTTTTATCCATTCATGGGATGTGGGTGTTTTTGACCAGGCCAACATATATTGTCCATCCCTAGCTGTCAAGAATCCAGTGAACAAAAACCTTTTAAAATTTGCCCAGGTTCAAATGCTTTATTAAAATTGTGATCAAAATGAGGGTCACTAATGATGGAGGAATGAAATTTCTCAATTTCTGTCACCTAATATCGGTACTGACATTTTCAGATCAGGTCCAGCAAATTAAAACAAGAGCAGAAGATTGTGGATGTTAGAAATCTAAAATAAAAACAGCGGTGGAGAAACTCAGCACATCAAGCATCATCTGTTGAGAAGGAAACAGATAAATATTTTGAGTATGAAGGAAATAGAGGGATATGGATCTTGTAAGTGAAGACAGTTTTAGTATGGAAGGGTAAAATGTGTTGGTGCAGGCTTGGAGGTCCAAAAAGTCTGTTCCTGTGCTGTATTGTTGTTTGTTCTATCACTTTTTTGGAACTGAAGAGAAAGGGGCAAATGTGATGGGTTTTATATTGTGGAAAAAGATAGGGAAGAGCAAGTGAGAAGCAGAAGGGAAGGTGAAGGGAATGTTAGAGAATGAGGGAGATTAGAGATCATAGGTGTCACAGAACAAAGACGAAGCAAGTGGTAATGTTTATAAAGGAGAGATAGGTCCGGAGTAGGGGTTATTAGTAGAATGTAGGTCAGCTCTGCTGAAAGCAAAACTAAGAAAACCAGACATAACGAAGTGTGGAACTAGAGGAACACAGCAGGCCAGGCAGCATCAGAGCAACAGGAAAGCTTATGTTTTGGGTCGATGCCCTTCTTCTACAGATAGCAAGAGCTGCAGATGCTGGAGTCAGAAATAACACAGTGTGGAGCTGGAGGAGCACAGCAGGCCAGGCAGCATCAGAGGAGCAGGAAGGTTGACGTTTCGGTTCGGGACCCTTCT